ATAAGTAGATAAAGTCATATGGAGCGTCACGAGTTTCTTCCTTTACCATCAAGAGCGAGCAGTGTCGGTAAGCGTAGGTAAGGCACCACCGTCAACTGCCGCATGGTATTACCGTCACGAGTACGTGAGCCGCCAACGGTCACTGGTAGATGGTACCGTTATCGCGAGTGCGCGAGCTCAATATCAGAAATTCGTTGTGCCGCCCTTGGGGGCAAAAAACGGTGAAAGCTAACGTATGAACCAGAGGGCAGCACAGGATGCGATCGAACGACCCTGCCCGTGAGCAATCTCCCAACTCATCTCTGCTCATCTCTGGTTCCGCTGTCGAGAATTCAGTTTCACCAGAGGGCGGTTCGGTCGAGTTTCCTTTTCCTCTCCACAATGGCGGTGAGTGTAACGGAGCAGCGTGGATTATGTTCTTTGAAATCACTAAATATCACAGCCATCGGCTGATAATGTAAAAAACCAATTTAACGTTACGAGATTTTATTGTGTCGTTCAAGAGCAAGTTGTATTCATTTGTGGATGTTAGCTAATTTGAGTTCTTTACATTGCGAGTTAGAATGAGGTTAGGATTTTGTTTTCTGGCAGCAGGCGAAACCTGCATTAACGATCAGCTTGGAGATCTAACTCTTCACACAGTCACTTTTCGTAACTGCATTACCTCGTGTTAATCTATTTTCGCCGAGTTTTGTAATAATATAATGGCACAATTTCAGGAGCCAAAGAAAGTCCCTGAGAGGAAGCAAAAGAAGGAGCCCAAAGATGCGTCAAAAAATGTGATGCGCGAGGTGCGAATTCGGAAGCTTTGCCTGAATATCTGTGTGGGAGAATCTGGTGATAGGCTCACCCGTGCTGCCAAGGTAAATATGAATTAAATTAGAATTTTTATTTCTTTTGTAGCATTTGCAAAGCGTTTACTATCGATAAACTTATTCATTTATTTGTTTTTGCTCTAAACTAAGTGGCCCGTTTTATAATTTAGGTTTTGGAGCAGTTGACGGGTCAGCAGCCAGTGTTTTCCAAAGCTCGTTACACTGTACGTTCTTTTGGTATACGTCGTAATGAAAAAATTGCTGTTCACTGTACAGTGCGTGGAGCTAAAGCTGAAGAGATCTTGGAACGTGGTCTGAAGGTAGAATTATTACATCGTGCATTTTTAATGTATCAAATTTATTAAAAATCGATTTAACTTTCATTTTAACAATTTTTTGTAGGTGCGGGAGTATGAGCTTCGTAAAGAAAATTTCTCTGGTACTGGCAATTTTGGCTTTGGCATTCAAGAACATATTGATTTAGGAATCAAATATGATCCAAGCATTGGTATCTATGGCTTGGACTTTTACGTTGTTCTGGGGCGTCCTGGTAAGTATATTTCATATATGTTATATATTTCCAATTATAGGTAACACAACAGATTATGCCAGCTCAATTGTTTTTGTGTTCTTGTAATCCTCTTAAATTATTTCTGGATAGGAACAATTTTTTTATAATGGGATTTATAATGTTACGAGATACGGATAAAATTATAGTTCATTGTTTCCTACTTAACCTCCAAAATAATTTTCAATCTTGTTATATAAATGAGCATTACAGTAAATGGCAGTTAAAATTCTTATGGTTTTTAGAATTCTGTATAATTAATGTGCACGTTGTCTGGTATCGAGTAGATATTTCTGAACTAAGGAATATCTGCCAATTCTTAAAATCCGTGCTAGAAAAATTGCTTTCTAATTGCAACTCATGCCCACTTATGCTACTGGGTGTGTTACTAGAAGAGAGCAACATTTTGTTTAAATTTATTATTTCAAGTATTATATCTTTTTTTTTCGTAACTCACTATTTCTTTTCATTTCCTCGCCAGGCTTCAACGTAGCTCACAGGAGAAGGAAGACGGGTAAAGTTGGTTTCCAACACAGACTTACCAAGGAAGATGCGATGAAATGGTTCCAACAGAAGTATGATGGTATAATATTAGCAGGCAAAAAGTAATATACATTGTATTTTACTATTGACTTATAAAAACCCAAAAAAATCTAGATGTTGTTTTCATTGTTAATATTCGCCCTTATTCTTGTAAAACAAGCACAGCATTCCTAGAGTAAGGTTGTAATAATGCTTTTTGAAGGAGTATAATTATTCAGGGAGGTTAGGTGTTGGAAAAATACTTAAGAGAATTGTTTTCGTCATGCAATACATCATTTGTTTATTCAAATGATTTACTGTTCAGAATTAGACTACTAGTGCGCAAACAAAGCTGTTGGAGGAACTGGTTTTGATACCGCATTGAAATACTACATATTAAAAGTGATTCATAAATTAAATATTACACCACTTCGTACTTTACCATGTAACCATGAAACGCAAACGTCGCTTTCCAAAAGCCATCGCTGGCATTCTATCACAAGAATTGTTACAATGTTTATGTAGTGCAAAAGAACTTCAGCATACACATCTCTCGAACAGGAACCATTGTTAGGTCGTCATACCCGAAGTTGAGCTGCTTTTTATTCCCAATGATAAACAAAACTTGTGTTTTATCTAATAATGAAACATTTAACATTCACTTAATATGACACATGAAAAGTGACAATCATGCCTTCGGTGAAGTGTGTTTTTTTCTTGCTAAATAACATTAAAATAAAACGCTTCGCTTCATATAGAGCAGCTGCGTAGAAGTGCCATAGAGGCTCCTAAAATGATAGCTTCATAATTCTTGATATGCGGTTTACTTCTGCAAAGCAGAGAATCGGTTAAAAAAATTCTGCAGTAAAGATAGACGTGGATATCTCTACCGACCCGCAATAGAGACACTCCACACGTCGAAAGCGACGCGCGTCCCCTTCCCGCTGCTGCGAGTCCTTTGAAAAACTTTTATTTAGCTAATCCGATAATATCGAGCATTATACAAGGCAAGATATTTCCATATGTCAGTCTCCTTATTTTTTACCCTACCTGGACGCCATGTCGATGGACTTCTAATTCGTAGTTTACGTAGGTCGCCGCATTACACCAATAAAATCTTTCCTTACTCCTATCACAGAATTCCTACGATATTTCTTGAAGATCGTCATTAACAATCATTTCATAGCAAAACGGAAGTACTTGATAATCGAATAAACCCAACGAATAAAACTTCGTGTAGAAAAATAAACCAAGTAATTTTGAAAATACGCGGAGCGTAAATTTAATATGTAGGTTTTATCATTGTATGAGAATTGTAAGGTCTTAACTGGTCTAACTCAAATATGATATGCTTTCCTCCGTTTAGGATTGAGATTTTATCTTTAAAGAAATATCGTTGAATTCCCCACGAAACGTTTCCATGATAAATGATAATATCAGGTAACAAGGTCAATAAAATTTCCAGCTATCCTGTAGCTGATATGGGAAAAGATATAACGCTCGGCACTCCTTAAATTTTCTTAATATTTCCCAATCGGCAAAAAATGGTCTATAACAGCCAACTTTAGGACACGCATTCAGGTCCGTCAATCATTAATTGCTTATACGTTTGGTCTTGCAAGAATGCATCAAATACTATAGAGCAAGTGGTGATTCCATGGAATATTAAAAATCATTGATATAATTTATGTTGCAAAATTATCCGACATTTAACTAGTTCGATCGGAAGAATATACAAATAAAAATGACACGATCGGCTATTGGCGATCAATGACATTGCCGGCAATAAAATTTTCGAGGAAACTAGTCGGAATTGAAAGTCACGTAGCATCGACAGTAATATTAACCCATTAAAGCCTTTGACTACTTATTTCGTCCAGGATGTTAATTCCAAAGCACAATTTCAATCTAGCGCAATTTCAAGTACATGGCAAAAGATAAACGCGATGTATTTGCAATTACGTTTGCTTTTACTTCAATGGGTTAACCGCCAAAGGATGGTGCTGTAATACCTTAGTGTATAATGTAAAGACAATGCTCTAATTGAATACAATGCCCTACATACTTTATAAGGTACTGGACAAGGAAATAATCTAGTAGAATCCACTTGCATTTTCACCTTCGATCCCGAGTACAAAGAATTGAACATGTAATAACGAAAGGAAAGTGAGAACGCGTGAAAGTGCACAGCCATCTTCCTTCAATGCCAAGTAACGAAAGTGTAGTAATTTACCGATAATTACTTTCTCAGCGTTTCCGTGTACGCGAAATTAGCAGCTAAGTGTATATACAGTGCCCTGTTCCGTCGAGGAGAAGCGATTCTTTCGGAGCTCTCGCGTTTTCTCGTACTAAAGGTCACGAGACTAACGATCATTGTCAATTAACAGGTCGAGAAAAAGAAAAGAAAAAAAAAAATGGTTAGTCCTATAAACTTTGGTATAAACTCGAAGAGTTTGAATCATTCCCATACATGATTCTAATTGCACTATACTCCTGCACACGCTAACGCTAATGACTACCAGTAGTTCGAAAATGAAACATTCAGTTGGCACTTCAGTTCTTTTAAAACACTATATTAATATCTGTACTGAAAGAAGCTGCTCTTCGTGATGAAAATAAGATACACCAGCGCCCATATTAAAAACAGTAGCTACCACAATCGGTTTGCTACTATGGAATGTGAGGTGCATTTTCCTATGCAAGTCGTGATTATAACAGAAACTTAATATTAAGGCAATGGAACCTCCATTTTCATCCGGTAAACTAAGTAGGGTGCGAGGCCCATAAAAGTTATTGCGTCCTTAAAAACGAATCCACGTGTTGCTGATCTAAATAAAATCCAACCAGCATTTATCCGACATATCAAAGCCTTTGTTGTGTGCATCAATGATATACAAGGAATACTTTTATTATCCAATTCAGTTTCTGGATCATCGCCAAAATGTTCCTAGAGAAACCATTTCCAATAAAAATCGCTATCATTAAATCACACACAGACCTTGCATCAGAATTTCTTTTGCGAAACGGTTTATGTGAAAGTAAGAAAATTCAAATCCGACTTTGAACCGTCAAAATATTAGTGGCTTCGTTGACGAATGCGAATATCTCCGAAAGAACGGTACTCTTCGCTAGGTTAATTAACACAGGAATCATTTCCTCGCTGACCTGTAGATCTTATCGATGTTAAGCTTCTCGGTGTCTGTAAAGCCCAGAATACTTTCGATGGCATTCAGGTGACCGTGGTGATTCTCTTTATCCGTTAGGAAGTAGTAAATCGCTGATTTCAGGAACTGCAACGTGATTTCTGGATCGAGGGCTCCTTGGTTGCTCTTCGCTTCCACGACACGCCGATACATTGCCTGATATCGCACAAAAATGTATTATGAGTTATTAACAATCCTATTACAGAATCATAAGAGAGAAATGATGAGTACTATTCGAGTGCACGCATTGCATCTGTATGATTACAATAAATATTAAAAGAAATCTGTACATCCTTAGCATTCATTTATCTAGATCATTATAGTACCATTTTTCTTTTTCTAGGCAATGTTTTACTTAAAAAAAGAATTTGATATCGATTCTTGGGAGAATATCGGTATTCCCAATAAAACAAGACATGAAACACAAGAGGGGGAACTGGATAAGATTTCGTCGCAATATCGCGAAGTTGTTTTTCTTTTTGCGAATGAACCTTGAACTTCAGTTTATATTAAAAATCACGTTTTGATGACACAAAGGCGGAATTGCCTTGCATTCTACAGGGAAGCAAGCGTGCCAGGCCTACACGTGGCTGAAATTTGGAACGTTCTTTGGATGAGACATATTTGGTGTTCTGATTTATCTAGATCCTCAAATAAAAGTAGCTTCATCTACTCGAGTTAACTACGACGCATTGTACTGCTTATTCATGCAAAACAAAGTAACAGATATTCACGACGACTTATCTTTAGTCGAGCAGATTGGACTTAACGGGCAGAGGACTAAATATGAATAATAAATAAAACACTGGACGTCATTCCATGAAAGTTCTAAATTTCAGTCATGCGCTGTTTCGCCGTACAAAACAATAATACCGTCAAAAGCGTGCGTGCTCACCGACCTAACGAAGAGGCTGTTTCTTCCAAGTGCTCCCAACTTACCATACTACATCTTTGTTTTACATAAACAATACTTGCATAATAACAACTGCGTTGGATGCGTGCCGACTGCTGGGCAAAGGGCATGCACTCGTCTGACAGGAAGAAAAGGAATGTCGTTGCATTCTCTCGCAGAGTAGAAGGCTTCGGAGATGGAATAAAAAAAAAACACGAAAACCTGCTTCGATATTTACTCAACATCTGGATACCAATTATATACCAGTAATAAGTGGAGTAGGTCGATTTTTCTTCACCTTACGTTTCACGGTCAAGTGTCGCGGATACTGCTTCATTTCTAATATCTATTTTAGCGACAGAAGATATACAAAGGTTTCAAAATCTGCTTACGTTTCCACGTCTCCGACCCATTTCTATGTCTTCTATTCAGCGAGAGTCTGAACTCGATCGTCGCCGGTAGCGACAACGAGGACGTTAACGACGACGACGGCGCCGGCGACAACAGGGGAACCGGGGTACGAAACGTGGAGGGGATGGCTCGTGTGACTCGCTGTGCCTCTAGGGTGAACTACGCAGAGCGAAGTGGCAGCAAAGGAAGTACGTGGGGAAATCGTTTGCGAGGCCAGTGGAGCAAGGGATACAGACCTTACGAGTGCCAAGGACCCAGAGAGAAACAGCCTCCTGGGCGGTTAACAAACGCGGGCCACGATCGGCCGAGCAGCTCGTCTCCTGGAACTAGGACCGGCATGTGGCAGAACGGGTGGAATCGTTAGTACCTGTCCACAGGGATGGACCTGGGCGAGGAGCTGCTTCAAACGGCAAACCTCGCATATTTACATACGCGAAAGGACACCGTTTTAGCTAGGTCAGGTCGCCCAGGGCCGCAAATTCAGGAGTCGAGGGACTCGAACGACTCGAGTGGAACTCAAAGGCAGGATCATCGTTCGCGAATGTCTTGCCTTGGTTTTAGGATAGGCAGACAGGTTTAGGCACCGTCGTCGTGTCGTTTCGAGCGCTCTCGAGTCTTTGTGCCCGGAGCTGGATGGATTCGTCCTTACCTTGACGTTGTCCAGCTCGGCTTGGGTCACCGTCAGCTGTTGGAGGAGCTCCGCTACGGAGACCTTCTGCTGCGGCTGTCGGGCGTTCTGCACCATCTACGACACCGAGATTCCTTGATGAGCTCGATTAAATTTAATTTCATTTGTACAATGGACGTTAAATGAATATTCTTTGCACGCAGACATCGACCCACAGAAGGGGCATGGAAATTGCTTCAATGAAGTACTTGAAAAGGGAATGAAGTCATTACCCGTATTTACATAAAGTGCAAAAAAAGGAAACGAGGAAAAAAAACCTCACCTGCTCCGCCTGCTCGAGTCGGGCTGCTTCCTGGCCTTTCGCGTACATTTTCAGGTACATACATTTGTTTCTTTCCTCCTGCTCATCCAGCAGAGCCTTCCTTTCATCGAGCTCGAGCTTGATCGTCTCCAGCTCTGCGCTCAACTCTCGATTGCGTTTCTCCGCTTCATCCAAGGACGGACGTAGATCACAGCACCTGGTATTCAGCTCGGAGATCTGCTGCAGCAGGTTTTCCACCTAAAAGACGAATGCGTTGGCGAACCACGGACATGTCGGTCTCACTGGAGAAAGAAAACTATCAACCTTATCGTTGTGCTTCTGCTTCAGATCCTGCAGCTCGTCCACGTGCCTCCGGTGCATTTCCTCGATCCTACTTTCGTAATGGTCGACAAGCCGACACCTTTCTCGGTCGGAGACGACATCGTTGCCGGAAATGGCACTTGGTACATCAACGACCTGCAAGGAGTCCTTCGAGTGCACGGATCCATCCTCGTAATGGCCCGAGTCTGCCGAGGAAGAGGGAAAGTCCAAAGGAGCTCTCCTTTCCGAGGCTTCCGGACTCCTGCTCGTCTCGAAGGATCCCTCGTTTGGAAGATTCTTCGTCGGTGATTCCGGCGAGAACGGGTCGTTCTCCCGGACGGTGACCGCATCGCTGCTGTCCGTCCTCTCGTCGGGACTATTCAAGGACGCCTTGTAAAGACGTAACTCCACTACCTCCTTCGTCAATCGGAATATCTCGCGGTCCTTGTCCTCGATCTCCTTCTTGGCGTCTCTTAAAAGTGTCTATGCAGCAAAACATTTAAAATTTAGAGATTTACTTAAAATATATTAAATATGTCATGTAGGTTTCGAAGAGAGACCTCACGTACTTCTTCGGGTCGCGAAGTTTACCTGGAATTTTCTAAGTTGCCTAGCGGCGCGCTGGGTCGGCGTGAGGTACTGTTCGTTATCATCCGGCTTGTTCGAGCAGTGGACGACGTACTTGCGGGACCGACCCGACCAGGTGGTGCCGTTCAGGGCGAAGTGCGCGTGGTCGCAGGCGCTGGCCGTGCTGCAGGCGCTGCCATAGCTCTTGACACTCTCGACGTCGCTCTCGTCGGTCGCCGTCGCCGGCGTGGTCGCCGCCGTGCGAGCCGCTCCATGACCTGGTCGCGGCCGTGGCGGCGTCGTCAGCGACAAACTCTGTGAAACAAGCAAAAGCCACATCACCCCAGTGCAAACTCCACTAGTACCGCGCATATCCAAATGACCAAACCTCGCTTCATCGAATCTCTCAAACCACGCTGAACATCCAATATCTAAATCCCGACTTATCTAAGAAATCGATGGACAAAACAGATTTTCCCTCACAAGTCTCGGCGAGCTTTCATAACGGAACGGATAAGAGTTCAGGCTCGTTAATCTACGTCAACGCAACAACGCGTAGTCACGCATAACGCTAAAGTGCGTGTCGAAGCCGAGCGAAGTCACGGCATGGGTTACGAGGCCAAGGTGAGCATCGACGAATTCAACGGGTCGCAACAGGTACCGGGATGTTCCCTAGTGGTCGCACGTCCCGCTACCGCGGAAGTCTCCACCTGGTCCCCGCTGAAAGGAGCGGTACTCACGAGTGAGCGGTGTCGCGGTGAGTCGGCACCATTCTCCGTGATGACCGGGAACTCGCTCCGCTGGTGGAGCCGGTCGCGCTCCTGGAGGCGCGGGGACGGCCCGAGAGTCCCTCGGGGAAGGTCCTGGGCTCGGTCTTGGGGTCGCTCGAGGACTCGGATCCTGTACTCGAGCCCGAGCTCGTGCCTCTGCCGACTCCGGGAGAGCGCGGAGCTGAAGCCACGCAGCGGCGCCGTCGGTGCCTCAGGGTCGCGCTCACCGCGCATGCGCGCGCTGAACGAGCGACGCAGCGGCGTCGGAGAGGGTCGGGGGATGCGCGAGTCCCCGGAGTGGAGGGTTCCGGATTCCGCGGCCATTTCCACGGCCCCGTCGCCAGCGGCGACGTCGGTCTTTCGGCGGAAGCGACCCGGGAGGGGGAGGGGCGTCGCGACGCCCTGCGAGGCTGATGCCGCTGGTGGATCCGGGTGTCGTCGTCCCTGGGGTCTCCATTAAACGGGGAATCGGCGTCGACTTCAGCCGATCGATCCCTGCGACGTGGCTCTGCCGGATACTTGCATCTGGAAGGAAGTCGTGATGGTGATTAGTCGAGACCTGGAGTGGATCGGCGGGGAGGCTATTTGAATTTGAGACTGAGGAAAAGTATTGGGTTGGGACGTAAATTCAAATTTGCACGTGAAAAAAAAAAACGGCACGAACTTATGTCCCTACCCAATGGCTGTGTCAGGCGCTAGCCCTTAAAAGGGATGTGATATAAATTATTATATAAAATACGTAGGTACGTAATAACGTACTATAAAAATAATAACTTTAGAAAGAAGTTGTAACTTCACAAGTTTTCAGGGGCTGACGCCTGTTTCACAGCTCGCGTGGTAATGTTTAATATTATTTTTTTTCTCAGCGTACCCTAGAAGGTAAAATCCAGTTAGGTCGATTCGAGTCGCTAAACTCGGTTAAGCCTCGATCGATTTAAACGACGCTTGGTTAATACAGACAGAATTTAATGCAATTATGCTCATTTAATTAGGGGCACTTAGACGTATCGAAGGGATGCTCGTCACGAGATGGTGAAACATCGGCGGACGATGTAAAGGATGTACGGAGAAATTCTAAATACATATGTCGCAGGTTTTAACAACTTCCTACAGTCGTGGTTTAACTGTCGTTTATCTGAGATAATGGTGCTCCGGTCACGATCGGGCCATTTTGCAGAAACTCGTCGATTTCCCAGGGATATATAAACATTCGACCTACAATATTGACCCGGTCTATGTACCGCGCACTTCAATTTCACTCCGTGAAATGTCCCGCTGACTTTCTATCCCAATCGGCGGCACTCTAAATGTCGCGGCGATACTGCGTTTTACGGAAGATCCGTCTCAGAGTCCCCGTGGATTGAATTAAGCGCGATCAAAGGTTAATCTAAAAGCTAGGAAACGCAAGAATTTTCATAACCCGAACCTGATTGTATTTCTTCACGACGTATCAAGCCATTTTCACGAGAACTAAGTTGTATACACTTTGTCGTCGTTTACGCGGCAGGTGCGAATTGCAATTCCCCGCAGTCAATCCTGGGAAAGGCCAGAATTGTTTTTGCAAGCTCCACGTGAAATACGTCTACAGTATCAACGCGGGTAGAGGAGTGGCATTTTAATATGTAAAGAAGTCGACCGAAACGTTCGGAACGACTCTTCGTACCGTGTCGGAGAATAAGCCGTAAGGAGTATCGAAACCGAACGCTCGATCGGTGCTTCACTGTTCCGTTCTGAGTTTGCTCATGATACGTGACAGTGGGTTGATTTAACACCCACTATATACTGCTTTTTTTTTTTTTAAAGAGGTATAACTCCAAGCAGAACAGAAATAAACTATGGTTACAATTTGACCTCCACCTCACGAAACGAACGTGTTGTAACGTCAGTAATTAGGTCGGCTCCAATTTACATCCGACCTTGCCGGAGTTGTTCTTTCGGAGTCTGTTATTTCCATTCTATGACGCTTTCGCTGACTGGAGATCCGCATCGGCGGTAAAGAAACCCGTAGAGATCTCTTCAAGATTGTAGCACTCTTCAAGAACACTTTGGAAATCCGAGTATAGACTCTCCATCCCGGAAGACGGTCTGGGGAATTCCAATTTTCCCGGATAAAAATCTCCGTGCCGGACCTCGTTCGTCGACCCCTCTCCTTCCGTTTTCTCGGTCGTCGACACGTACCCACTTTCGACGTTTTCCACGCTGTATCGGGAGTGCACCAAAACCTCCTTTCGGTCTCCAGACCAAGGGAAAGTTAAGTTGAGACTGCGGACCGCTTTAACGCTCAGCTCACGAGCAATGCTCCGCATCGAGAAAAAGAAAAAAGATCTCTGGTGCAATAATTAATCCCAGATACGATCTTACTCTTTCCTAGAGGGATTAGGAAAAGACCTCCAGAAGAGAAAGAAATAATAATCATTACGAAGAACGATACGGATATGAACGTGGGCCTATCGGCATATTGAATTAGTACACAAAATTCCCTCGTGAATAAGTCATTTACAATTGTTTCCATGCTCTACAGGTTTCTAGTAAATTGCTTTATAGCCCTGGAACATAGTATGATTCTGTACCGCTTCCAGTATTATCTGCTTGTTTAAAATTTTCGATCATCAGAATGTTTTGAAAATGAAAACAAATTAAGTCTCATCGAAAGAGAGTTAATATATTACTGTGTTAATGTTATTTAATGGACAATTTCTTCAGTGTGTTCGTTGGTCCCCATTTTCCTGTATATTTTGGCATCGGAGCCAACAGTAGTAGCCAACGAAGCAAGTTTCAAGCCACTAATTGTGTCACGTCAGCAGGTAACCACTTCCGTGCGTTGCTCGGCAACGCGATAGGCAAAAGATGCAAAATTCGTTACCAATACTCTCACACTTTATAAAAGTCTCATTTGCGATAAGGCATTTCACAGTAGTCGTGGGTGTTATTTCGCCCAAATTCCAGCTGATTGCTGTATCTAATTTGGCGTCGAATTTACGCCGACTCTCTGTGCATACGCTCAATTCTCACCTGAAGCAGGTGCCAAATGAGCAGTTAAATTTTTCTTATATATTTAAAAAAGAATAAAAAAACATTCAATACAATTTCCAGTACTCGTAGTCTATCGGCTCCTTAAAATCGAGCATTCAACTAGAGCAAACGTCATCGTCGCCAGTTTCAATTCACCGATTACGGCACGATTAGATGCGACTTCATTTTGTCTCACCTTGACACATATAAACGCAATGCTTAGGTACGTTCTCCACCTAGTTCACATCCGCCTCCAGACGTCCTGCTGAATCTACTCTGAGGCCTCGCATTATTTCTGATTTCGACTCACCGTTGCGATTGCGTCCAATCGGGCAGAGATTTATTTATTTAATTTGACACCGCCGCTAAGGCCGGCTGGGGAAACCCAAACGGAACGATCTAGTTACTTCACACCCGGCGCCGTCTCTTTCATGCGATAACACTCAGATATTAGATATTAGAATCTGATATAACGTAGCTATGTCTAAATAGGTATACATGTGTACTTACGATCGTTTCACAACTTTGAATCGGCCCGATTCGAGCTGGGAATGTAGGCAAATCCGGAACGAAGGTACGCGCTCGCGAGAGACTCGTCGATCCAGGCGAAGAGGTTATGGTCGAACTTGGAGCCGACGTAGCTGTCGCAGCCGTCGGAGCGGGACGCTTTAACAGGCACTCGTCATGCCACGCGGGCACAGGCGACTTCCTTGTTTCGTTCGTCGACTACGGCGTTGGGCGAACTAGATTTACCGCTAGCGATGGCCACGGATATCACTAGATATCGCCTGGTATCGCCGGACGCGTAAGACTGTACGTATGCGACGCTACGAGTTGCGCTTTCGAGGCGTCGCTGTCGTCATCTCGCGGAAGCCGGGGGAACTAGTAATCGCAAAATCCGATTATCATCGGTAAAATAAACACCTACCAATCCTTCCAATAAAAATGTTAATTAGAAAGATGTAAATGTTACAATATTGACATTCTTGTTAATACACATATAAGTAACGGATATTGATATCTATTGACTCTATATCAATTATATCCTAGGGATATCTAAATTCTCACGTGACTTTTCAATGTAAAGATGGATGATTTAATATAAGCGTACAGTTTGATACTTTAAAATTAACTTTGTATATTAATCTAATTGGATTTATTAAGTTGCTTACCCCGTACTCTCCGAGCGATAATCTAGGCAGTCAGGAATATTGCAAACCGATCTACTTTGCACAAAGCACAGGGTGGGATCAATAATCCTCCGTAAGGTTCAAGCTTGTATTGAGAATAACGAAGCTTGCAGACACGTGCACTATTTTTCTTTATTGTACAAATCTTAGACATTTGAACATTAAAACATGATCTGCCTCGTCAACATCGGTATGCGCTGTCCGGAATTAGATTTTTTTACACAGATCTTATAGGGTTCATCTCTCCTCTGTCTTAATATTGAATGTCGGAAATGTAGATCAATTATCGAGATTGAAACGACCCATGAAATGGGATACGGAAGGGTGTAGTGCATTACGTGTAGAAATGCACTTTTTTTTTTCAGCAGGCGCGTGAAACAGACATAATTTCGCGGGTATTTTGCGGTTCGCATACATCTTCTCTTTGTCCAAACATTTGGTTTTCTACCTATCGATTTTTCTAATCTGTTGACTCCCTTTGACAATGTAATAATGATATATCCTCTTTGAAGCTACGATCCTCGGTACTACAAGGCCAATGTAGGAATCATGTCAGAATCGATAAATTCAGCTTAGACTTCAGATAGAGCGACAGTCTTACTCTACGGTTCTAGACAAGAGAATTTTCTTACACGTATGTACAGTATGTAAAAATATGATGAAACGTCGATATACCGATCATACCGAGCTAGTGATAGGCAAAAAATAAATTTCTATCTCGTTAATCAGAAAAACAAAGCGACGTGTCTGTTGGTGTCACGATATAAGGCAGTGGTTGAAATGGTGTTGCAAAGTTATGAGTCCCATGACTCTCCGAAACACTCAATCGTCATGAGCAACAGTTAGTTTCCGAATGAAAGACCTAATGATGCTACGTCGAAAGATTTACACTAAATTAGGACAAATAAATATACTCGAATAAAAAGATATGCACACATATGTACATCATGTTACACATTCCGCAGTGTTAGAAAAATAAGTAGATTAAACGACGCGTTCAAAATGATTGCATCCTAGCACTGTGTTAGATATATTTTCCCTTGGTTAGAAAAGTTATTAAATTCACTTTAAATTCGACTCCCTAATTTCGATTGTTAGCTGACTGTTGGCAGGTGACCGATTGATTAATATCGACGAATCAAAGAGTAGAAGACGCCTCATGGTAGAAAGATTGTTAAAAAGCGTAAGTTCGATGCAGCTTTCAATAAAAGCCTCGAAGGACACGATGCATATTGTTTTTAGCAGTCATACTTGATATGTCAAACGTAGCAAACATTGTGTCGCCCAGATAGCTGAATGTTCAACACATATGGCGAATAGGTGTGTAACTTTCGATTATCAGTAAAATGCCGATATCGGTTACTTATATTTGGTCTTAATCATCCGGTTCGTCGTAATAAAATTCGTCCAAGGGATCATACAATTGTAAAAATGGCATTATAATTTTCTTTTTTACCCTGCAGATTAATGCTACGTCGACGCATAAAAATGCTACCTGGGCGCTGGTAATACTTCTCAAAAATAAACGCGCATTTTTGGACGTACAAAGAACGCTCGCCGAATATTATTTAGGAATGTTAGATCAACCGCCCTTCAACAAAGGCCGTTTCGGAGTCAATCCTTCCAGGTCGATTTAGAATCCATTTTATCGTAATATCTTTTGACGTATATATATATATTTATTTATATATATTACCAGGTCATTTAATTATATTACTAAGCTTCAATTGGCTCTCTTCGCGGATAAAGCGTGTCCCGTCATTTTTCAATTGACCTAAGAGGTTTGTCTCTTTATTTCTAGGCGACAACAATGAATAATAGTAATAAAAACAATAATAAACTCCTTCCATTGGTCGAAATCCCGTGTGGCTGACCTCTTCGATAATTGCTCGCTCGTGCTTACGGCAAGTAATAAACTACACGCTTACATCGGTGTAATAAACGGAGAAACGTAGGAAAATAAAAATATCTTTACTACCTTAAACTTTGGTATCGTTAGGTATGGGTCGACCCCCGTTTATCTCAAGCTTGCGTACGCGCGAATTCTCGGCAAAGTCAGAGGTCAACGGCGGCAATAGAGGAGGAAACACATCGAAGGAATAGATGAGAACTGGAAGATGCATCTGGAAGGTGGGTTAAGAAGAACTACTAGGTTTTGTACAGTCGGACTCTCGGAAATGCCTGGCACGTCCAGTCATTCTTTTAAGATGAACCACGTCGAAAAATACAACGCACTCCCCGTATACTGATCTGGCCTCAACGTTCGTTAAAAATTTACTTTCAGCTCGCCGATCTCGTACGCGCGAGCCATGCGCCACGACTTGCTCAATTTTGCACAGTTTCCCTTAACATGCTACAATTCGCCGGGTTCCACGATACATGTTAAGCTTTTAAGATTAATAATTTCTCCCTCGAGTCCTCCCGAGTTCCATATTGCCCTAAATTGCTCCTACGCTACGATAGTACTCTAATACGATTTTTACTCGGAATTGCCTGGCAAGTCGAGCGTAATGGCTTTCAGGAAATAACGAAATTCTCTAGCGGATTATATTTTCGTCAAAGGATTCTGATCGTTCCTGAGACGGCATTTTCGCGGACGGTCGGACCCGCAGCTCATTCGCTCCTTTCCCTTCCCTCGCTCTCTCTTCCTCTCCTGAAACTACGTCCTACTTTTCTCGATGTCGCACGAGAGAAGAAATTTTCACCTCTGAATTAGATCTCTCGCGGTGGTACCGTGCTAAAATTGCGACGCGGTAGAGTTAGTGGTGCAATGTCTATTCTATTTCTCTAAAAAATTTGGTGTAACTTATCTCTAAACATTTAATATCTACGTACAAAGTACCGAAGGGTAGTTTTACCAACGAAGGTTTGGAGTACTGAATCTAGAAAACATAAAGAGGTCGAGGACGAGGGTGGGACCCTCGTATTCGACGTTAATACTTCGATAGACTTCCACGAGAAAATAAATATTCTCCTAAGGGGACTTTAGCACGGATTTGAACGTGTCCGTTCAAACCGTGGTACCAATGACTCTGAATTTCCGAAAACGAAAGACACCTTTCTTGAGCGCTCGCTGCTGGCACAAGCGCGTACATTGATTGTCCGTGCAATAAATAAGTAAGTGGAATCCACTCGCAGGAAATGCAATGCGAACATTTTTGCGCTCGGTCATTCGGATGCCGGGGAACGAAGGCTGCGAAAATCTAGGAAATCCAGGATCATTGGAACCAGCGTCTGTACATCTTCCACTCCGGATGTGACTTCACATCTACGCGACGAAGCCGGACGTTTCTCCACTATGACTATGAGAGCACCTTACAACTACCTATAAATTAGCCGATAACCATTTCTCGCGAAAGGCGGACAACTACTTCCGTAGCACAGAGCCTCCCTTCCCTCCGCTCGTAACAATTCGAGATCGCTCCATGAATAAAGAATTGACCTCTAAATCCTTACCATGACATCGCCTGATGTCCAACCGTTTGACTATTCAGCTCAGACGAGCGTTGCGACGCTCTTCCCGCTCTCGAAACTCAACGAGTTGTATAGACTCCACGGCTTCTCGTCGAAGATTTCACCCAAGTTATCCACAAGGGTGTTCACACGGTGGACGTTTGTTGCTGATTGTTATTGTCAAGCGGGACGGTGGAGCATTCCTTCAACATCGCTCTTAACCGCAATATCTCTTTCGATGCGGTGGCCAAATCGGACTGCAGCTGCAGCTCCTTCTCCCGAAGTCGCTTGATATCTCGTTGGCAAGTCTGCAAGCATCAATGCAAATTACAACCTTAATCATTGGCGATTTACAACATTAATAAAAGAAGTAAAACTGTAATTCCTAAATATACCAATAAAACGAACATAAATGAAACATACCACATTTTGCCTCAACAAGTCCAGTTTGTCGCACTTCAGCCTGGTGACTTCCATTCTCAGGGTCTCGTTCTCCCCGCCATCTTTGATCGTGCTTCTGGTAGCATCATGGGTCTCTGCAGAGCTCATCGATTCTAACCCCGTGTCGCTGTCAAGGTACACAGCTTGGTCCAATTCTAATTCGCTATTTAGCGAGCTGTCGTCGCTTTCGGAAACGACGCGTTGGCCCTCGGACTTTTCGCCCACCTCTCTAGTGCATCCCTCCCGTTTGCGGAAGTTCTCATGACTGAGCCATTGGCAGCTCGAGGAGGTGGCAGGAAAGACGCTCCCAGTGATGGTGCCCATGGATCCGATGTTCCCAGCAGCGACATTGGCCGCAGACTTTTCGTGATTCGCCCCAGAGGCAAAGGGTACATTCGCGATAGGAGCGACGACGTTGACAGTGACAATGGACGAGCAGGTGGAGCCGTTTGCAACAACGACGGCGCCATTTTCCGCAGGTTTATCGCTTTGCTGTTGAGATCCTGACATCGTGGGGCTGCTTTCGCAGCTATCGGAGACAGAGGTCCCATCGTGGTTGCCACGATCAGGATCCCTCTTCGGGGTGAGCTCTGGCGAACCCAGGGGGCTGGAGATGGGCTCGATGGAACGTTTGTTGCAGTTCTTCGAGGATTGCCGATTGCTCGGCGGGCTCGGCTCCGAAGATGTCTTCCTGGCCAGCTGCTGGGGAACGCTATCCGTGGATGCGTTCCGTACGCGGGATATGAGCGCCTTCCGGACGGTGTCGATGAATCGGGAACCGCTTCCTCCGCCACCGGAACCTGACGCCGAGGTCGACGCGTCGCTCCCGGTGGGACTCACCGGGTACACTCCTCCCACGCTGTTGGCACCTCCACAGGTACCGGAAACTCCGGCTACCCCGGGTTCCCCGATGCCGTATCCAGCTCCCAGGAACTCGTTCGTCTTCACCTGCAGCTCCTCCGTCAGAGACTCCAACAAAGCTGACCTCGTTCGCAGCTGGTTATCGGGGAAAACGAAATACGGGAATAGATTAGCCGCTCGCTTCGATGGAATTACCGGTAAAGACGCTGTCGAGGAAACGGCGAAACGGGAAGGCAGAAAAATAAGGTAAGTAGTTTTCACTCCTACAAGTTCCATCTGCCGTCCCTCGTAAACGCCTTTAGCAGTATTTGTTGAGTACACCCGCGGGGCTGATAATACCCGTATGACTCGGTGGTACCTTACCTCTAGCTTTGCAAACTTCTCAGCCTTGTAGGCTGCATTTTCAGCGTTGATCAGCTTCGTGAGGAGGAACTCCTTGAATTCGACGCCTCGGAGGAAAACCGCGGGGGTCGGTAATGGAGGACCGAACCAGGGCACGTCGTCTCTTGCCGTGATGCTGACCTTATACCTGTTGATAAGATAAGGAAGTAGGAAATTTTGCAATGAAGGAAGTGGAAGGCTATTGATCGAGCTGCCGAGCTCGATTTTCTGTTCACGTGTACAATGTTTGTTATCGGTTACCTGGCGTTAGGACCGCAAGGCTCCACAACTTGTACGACGATGAACGCGTGAAGAAAGTGGCTAGCTATCATGTCAGGGCTGAAAGGAGTCGGTTCCTCTTGGAAGATGATGGCTACGATGTCGTTACCGATGTGCCTCTTGCGCTGCAGCTGCTGAGAGTCTCCGTGACTGTAAGGGAGTAAAGAGGCAACGTGGAAGAGGACCTCTCTGCCTCGGAACACTTCGTACACGGCGGAGTCACCCGTTTGGCCATGTCGAGTATCCAAGCCTCCTCGGTAACTGAGAAAAATAAAAAAACCCCACGTTAATATTAACCATGCAGATTGGATTACCGCTACCGTTCTACAATATATCAACTTTCACTTAAATACCCTAGCTGAGAGGAAAAGAGATTTTAACTAGGAAGCGTTTTGATCTTATAAAAAAGAAACAGTTAAGGTGGCATGAAAGTGTCATCTGAGAAATCAATGGCTTACCAAAGTTTTCTCCGAACCGAGGGTGCCGAATCGTTTGAAATTTTTCCACGGGAATACCACTTTAAGAAATGTCCCGACCCCCATGAAATGTCATTTGCTATACAGAATTTCAAAAGACTTACAAACAAAATAAAAAAAAAGAATTAAATCTCCTGGAGGTCAGAACCTTCCTCAGGGCCTCCTTATTCATGTTGTAAAATTCGAATACTCCGGTGCACCCAATTCGGAGAAAAGTTTCATAAACGAGATCCTTCGGACGCCGGTTTCTTGCCACCTTAAGGTACCGTCAGGTGGGACGTAAGAAAACTGTCGAGGTCCGGAGAGCGGTCGGTTGGCGAGGTCGTTAAGTACCCTTTATGATCCTTCAGGTCTATCCTCTGGCCGAGCAGGTCCAGGAACTCCTGGAACGCCGGCGTCATCTGCCTGTTGCCGAAGAGCTGTTCCTCGGTGACCTGGCCAGCCCGCTGGTGCAGAACGCCGAATTTGAACCTGGAGACCAGGGCGTGCTCGTCGTACCTGGCGATCAAGGCGCCAGCTCCGGAGCATACCACGGGCAACAACGAGTTCACGTTCAACGACTCGTTGATCACCTGTTCAAATAGAAATTGCCGACATTACCGAACACCTCCAACATACGGAAAGACGGTCCCGCGGTTAATATCGACGATTCCGTCACGGCCGCTCTTAATTCCACTCCGAGGGAATTCGTGCCGGAGAGCACCGCAAACACGGCGCACGGCCCGAATTAACGGCGCACCGAGAGAACGAGTGCTTTCCAGGGCTTCGTTTTAATTACACTTGAGGAGTATCGGTAGTTCCGCGGGGCGTTTCTTTGTGCCGCGGCGAGCCCCGCGCGTCGCCTCGATTGACGGCGAACAATGTTCCCCGAACATTCGCACGAAGCGCCGACACCTCCCATCCGTGCCGATCGCACTTCGATCTGCAATTCAGATTATTGGTGCGGCCAACGCGATGGGAAATGATCGTTTAATCCGCTCCCATTTAAATATTCGCAGGGCTCGGCGTGCAATTACGCACCCGTTACGCCGCGCGTCTTTCGCCATCTCCGCGTTGGGCGCGTAAAAAGAGGACCGTTTCGAGGGTTTCGACAAACCTGGCGAACGGTACCTCGGTGAATTCCACTGCGAAGAGCTTTCGCGCGCCTCTCGCTTTTCCTTTTTCTTTCCCGCTCTTTCCCTCGACTTACCTTGACCATTTTGGCCGGAGAAGGACTCGGCCCGAGCGTGGAGGCCGGTACCAATTCGTGCGCCGAGCCGGTCCGCAGCCGCAGAAGGACGCGCCAATGCTCCTGCCCGGCGACCGTCTCCGCCTTCACCGAGACTAATACGGGGCCGCTCTCGCTGTCCCGGCCCACCAGGTTCACGTGCTCCTGTTTCGACAGAGCACAAAGTAACAGGTTTTATTGCCGCTGCTTGAAGGCGAGCCTCGAGAGGCACCGGGATCTGGCGCACTTTTCTTCCCGTTTTGTTCTCTTTGGCTATCTACCGAGTATGCACTTCGTGCCTAAATAAAGAAGAATCGCTGTCGAACCGGTACGCCAAGGTTGGGCCAAATGGGTTGTAATAAATACTCGTTTATTAACTGCGGCGTTAAATAACGTGGAAATGGGATTTCTAAACCCTGGACCATGCGAGCATCGTCTCAACGGCCGTCGATACAACGTCCGTCGCCTTTGTTGTAATTCAACGTCCGTCGTAACGCACGTCGTTTATGGCGCTCGCCTGGCCTCGGTCTAAAACGGAAGAGTTGAAGGACTAGTCACCCTATTTTCCACCCACCCGAAAATCAGGCAAAACGATATTCCTCTCCGAGAACTGATTGTTTCGTGGATTTCGTATGATAAGACATAACAATAATTCTGTAAGAAGTGACGATTGGCGTTAAAATTTGCGTAACGTCTCGAAGATTTTGAATGTCCTGCGTACGATTTCCTTCGACCCAAATAAGTTACCACGGGAATTGGAACGCTTTTTACGTAGAAAGGATCCAGTTAACATTTCTGATTGATCCAGCAGTTACGAGTGTCAGTCACACTTAACTGTTTATATGGAAAAAAATAAAAATAAAAATAAAAATGAAACTTGCAAGCGCATGCCAATCAACCGGTTGTTTAAGGCAGTTCTCAGGGAGTTCGCAAGAGTGGGTCGAAACGAAATGCGAACGCGAAGTGGCCGAGCCAGAATACGCGATTTACTTTAACGGTCAATGAAATACAATAACGGTCGGCCTATAGAAAAAATTCGAGCCGTTCTGGGTGCCGACTCGAGCGGAAATCGCCAATGAATGGCGGAGTCCACGACCGTCCGGAAAGAAAAAAAGTCGACGCGACGCCGCGCGTCGCGGCGCGACCGGATGCGGCGCGGCCAACTGCATCTGCATTATAAATTTCTGAAAGAGCTTGTCGCCGTACGTGACCGCATAGCATAGCGCAGCTCGGCGGAATGTCGGCATATAAGTGCGCGTTGTACCTGGTACACCGACACACAATGGAGTAATGGACGCGAAGTGCGTAGGTCGGAGCGTTGCGTCTCCTAGAGGACGCGGTGAAGCCGATTCGGAAATCCTCTTCGGAAGGCACTTCCCGATGAATCGATATAAAAACGGCGCCGAAAAGAGATCAGAACGGCGTCTTATTGCGCAACCTCGTGGAGAAACACAGTTCAGTACTTGTTATGCAGGCGAATAAAAATGTAGGATTATATCTTATCGGTGGATACCGAATAGAAATGTTCTGTTACACTGTATGACGACTCGTGAAGATAAGGCTCGTGGCTGGTATCCGTGATTAGGTCAATTTTCCGAAATATGTATAATTTACGTATACTTTACGTACATTCTACATCTACTCAATATACGTTTTGTGTCTGTCGTTCCAGAAACATTTTTAACAATTTTCAGGATAAAAGAGGGATATCCTCCTCCGCGCGTTTCTCGTCTCCGGTGAGCCCATATCGTAATTAGTTACAGGAAAGAGGAGGATTCTATTTTTCACGTGGCTTTAAATACATCGTTGCGCGAAGTGACACAGTACTTCTCCATGACTTAGTCGACGTTCTTTCGGCGGCTGGGCGGGTTTCGTAACTCGAATGGGAATATTTCCGGCTTGTTAGTTTCGCCCCCGTGGGCTCGGTCGCTTCGGAACTCTCTTTCGAGACACCATTCCCGAAGAGTTTCCCGACGGAGTCGGCGCCAAGATCGGGTTGGGCTCGGCATACAACCTACGTGCTTTACGGCGCGAATGGTCACATCGATATGTGCGGGACGGATTGCGATATATCGGCGGAATGTACGCGGCGACGAAAAAATCCGGACGGGTTCACTTCGCATTAAAACCTGGAGAAATAAATCCGAGATTGTCGGTACCGCCAAACTGTCCGTGAGAATTGAAATGATCGAAATAGCAAAACGATCGGGTGAAGGGACACTATTACGCTTTGATCAAGTCGTTTCAATTTAACGTTTAATCTTGCGTTGATAAGACTGATATCTGGTAGACTGGGTGGTACTATCCGCAGTGGATGAGTAAACAGAGCGTGACTTGGCCCATGCAGATGGAAGGAAAATAATAATTGAGCCTGTCAGGGATATATACGGCTACCTACGTAATTGCACCGCCTCTATGTATCGCGTTTGCCCTGGCATGATGAGACTGTGCGGGGCAATTAGTATTGTAACTGTAACCGTACGCTCCTGCAACTCCAATTATACTTCTGGCTTTTGAACGCTCGGCGGTAATACGGCAGATTTTCAATCTAGACTTTCTTTCCCACTTCCACCGCGTTTATCCCTCTTCATCTCAATCCCTCTTTTTAAGTCCACAGGACATTCAAGCCTCGGGGGTTTACGTGATTTCTTTTAAAGAAACAAAAACTCGCATTCTCGAAATATTACTGGTCTTATCTGCCAGGTTTTTCTCATCATCTCTACGCATTAAATTGCAGGAGACTCTTTCACCATCGTGAGATTACACAAAAACCTGAGATATCTGAGAACAAAGAGAGATGTCGAGATGAGCTTAAGGTGATATGAAAGTGGTATCCGAGGGGACTCGTTTATAAAACTCTCCTCTAAACTGGACGTACGAAATCCTTTGAAATCTTTTCCACGTGAACATGGAGGCCCTAGGGAACGCCATAACATCCGTGAAATTTCACAATATAAAAAAATCTGTTAACCAACATTTTTAATTTTGTATTTAAAAAAAAAATGAATTTCATGAGTGTTAGGACTAGAGCCTCCACATTCGTAAAATTTCATTCCCGCAGTTTGAGGTAAAGTTTCATAAAAGAGACCCCTCATATACCACTTTCATATCGCCTTAAGGGTCTAGTTATGAATTGCTGTTGCCTCCGTAATACAGCGTAAAGTTTTATAATATCATGAAATGCGATACACGCGAAAATCGATATCAGCCAAATCGCTGTCATAAAACTGAGTTATGATTTTCATGGCTCATAGGCTTTAACAAGCCACCAGCGAGCTGCAGGTTGTTTCAATTTTTCCTGCATCAAAGAAGGAAGGGGGATAAAAAGACTGACAGAGTGAGGTGTCCTTTCTTCGTTTAAATGGGATTTTACGCAACCTAGAATCGGGGGAAGCGCAGAAGCTACTCGGGGAACCCGAAGGAAGCGGAAGAGCAAAGCCACCCATGGAAGGGGTCCCCCGAGGTGCGCGATGAAAGATCACCGTCCGATGTAAGGAGGGTGGTTGGAAGCCTCGACGTCGGACATCGGCAGAGGCTGTGAGAACTTTCCCACTCCCACGTAGAACCAAAGTGTTCCTTTCCTGTGGCTCTGATCCAAGGTACGCTACAAGGTACGTGCGCGGACGAGGAATATTACACTTGCTCACTCGGAGGACCGCGACGGCCCTAAGGGCCATCTTCGACGAGGAAACGATTACTCTCAGCCTCCGCGGTTAATTATTATACTTGCGAGGACCACTTACAACCGCGATGGCGGACTTGAGAAAAAAAGTTAACTCGAACCTGCAACGATTGTTACCGCAAAAGTATTATCGTTACGCCACGACCTACTGTGAAGTCGATTGCCGTTAACCCCTTCAGAAAGAAATGGGAACTTCGTCGTTAAGGATACTACTAGCATAATTCCCGTTTTTATTATTTTTTTTTCTTTAACAAACATTACGATGCGAGGGGCTTAAAAATTGCTTGGCGTTGGAGGAAATTCTTGCAAGATCTTTGCGGGAAGTCGAGAAAAAGTTAACTCGAACCACCAACGATTTTTATTCCTAAAGAAGGATACACGACCTAGTGTGGAGTCGATTACCATTATCCCCGTGGACAGAAATGGGAACTTCGTCGTTAAGGATACTCCTTGCATAATTCCTATTTTTTAAATAAACATGATGTGAATATACTCTTTATGGGTTGAATTCTCAAAGGAGAATCGTGATATTCTTTTTCCCAACCCATTGGCGTTGCTCTGGGTGTTCAAGGGAGGGGTTTAAAAATTGCCTGTTGTGGGGAATCCTTGCAAGACTTTTTTCCGGAACTCCTGGGTATACCGAGATTGCCCTATGAATCCGCAAGATCCTCCACGAGATGTTGCCGATGCTTCGTCGAGATACTCGGCCCTCAGTCTCGGGAGGTCGAAAGCACGTCATAGTTAGGCACAGAGGGCAGAGGAGAAACGAGAGGGCATCCGAGAGCTCGCATTCAGGGTGGCCATCCCCTGCGGTGATCTTCATCGATTTCCCCATCCCCGACGAGCGGGTTTTCTGCGTTGGAGATGCGTTCCGAGACGTCAGGGTGACTCGAGGATCGCCTCGCCCTTTTATTCCAGGGCCGTGACGAAAGGGCCAAATTCATGCCGAATGACGTTCTAAGAGTTATAAGACGTAATCCAAGTGAAAGATTCAGGACTTGGGGGAGCGTCTCGTCCTATGAAGACTCGCTCCATGCATATGCTTATATATGTACCGCATGCACCGGGTGGCACAATTAGCTGGGAACACGGATAGACCTACATCTCTTCAGGTCAAACTTCCTGAGAACTCCGTACACCTGATTTTTACATCCTGCTCTCTTTACCCAACTCGAAGGTCAACTTAGCCGTTTAATTGGAAATCGATTTCTCCTCCTTGAGAAATATCGACGCGCGCACCAAATGACCTACGGTGAAGTACCTTTCCGATGAGACGTTCGTGAGATATCCTGACCTAACCCTCTATAACATCACGTGACTTTGAAGTAACGTACACATATATCCTGAAAGAAAATGATCATTTAACCGAAGAGATATTTCTTTGAATAGTACCAAAAGAATATATTCTTAATTCAAAGAATAATTATTTGATTCAAATAAATTCGTACGGTTTCGACGCAACATGTCTTCGGTTCATGAATAATTCTTTTTTTCAGTGTATAAATATTTCATAAGCCCTATTCGATTTGCCCGGCACAACCTAACTTGGCATCTTATTGTATCGCTCCGTAACCAAGGAGTTCGTATATAAATTGTAAATTAATTGTTGGCTAAGGTTCATACTTGCCGCCTTCACATGATATTATTTTCTTTCTCGGCTTGAAAAATTGTATTGCAGAGGTTTAAGGGGATGTAAAAGTAGCATCTGAGGGGTCACTCGTTCATGAAACTTTTCTCTGAACTAGGGGCACCGAATCGTTTCAAACTTTTTAACGTGGATATGGAGGCTATAAGGAAGGTCCTGACACTCATGAAATTTCAATTTCTATTAAAAAGTTCTATAAACTAATGAAATAGAAATTGAAATTTCGCTACTTTTACGTCACCTTGAATGTCGATTTTAAAAGTAAATCTGGTTCTTACTCGGCCGACGAAGAAGCGCCGGTAGCACTTGGCGGTGTCGTCCTGGTCGATCCTGGGTTGCCAGGCCGGCTGCGTGGACAGAAGAGCCCTGCCGGCCAGGTCGAGGGCATGCCGATGATCGGTCCCGTCGAGCCAGTATCCCGGAGGAGTGACCGCCAGGGGTGGATGATGCGAACCCGAGGAGGCTGCGGCCTGCTGCAAGGCGGCCTCCATCAGGACTCGCCCTAGCGGCATGTCACCGGCCGGCGAGGGAGACACCGACGGGGAGGTCGTCGTCGTCGCCGAGGAGGAGACTGGCGAGGGTGGGTGTTGGCCACCCGACACGCTGCTCGTCCTGTCATCTCTGGAGCCCTGGAATGAGGAAAGCGGACCTCGTTAGGCTGGCAAATAGATTAGGCAAAGTGCAGAGGGAATTACCGACCGTGTAAATCGAGCCGAATTTGCGCTAAAACAGAAGGATCGTTTAACTTTAGGCAATAATTATTTCCTCCGCAATTATTCATAGAGGATTTTCAAGTACTTTGTACGTTGTTCGGGTTATTATTAATGTCACCATTAATAATAACATTAGTCTGGTAAATGGATTAGGTAAAGTGCCGAGGGAATTACCGGCCATGTAAATCGAGCAAAATTTACACCAAAGCAGGAAGATGGTTTAGCTTTAGATAATAATTTTTTTCTCTATCATTGTTTAAATGATGATTCATCGAAGAGTTTCAATCTACTTGTACGATATTCGGGTTATTATTAGTGATGACACTTCGCCGCAGGATCGACACTTTTACGAGGCCTCTGTGACAGAGTAGCACAGAGACCCCCTTATATTTTTTACCGTTCAGTCCTTATCGAACCGATGTCAGTAAACGCAGGGCGAGACATCGACTTATCGCGACCTATACAGACTTAAGATAGAGTATCGTAACACTAACCCCTCCAGATTACGTCAATAATAGAACCATCTGCACGAGTTGAATTTTCGAAGGCACGCGTGCCCGGTCGTATAATTCGGAGCGCGAGGTTCAATTTAGGATTTAACTCGCTTCTAAGCGTAAATGTCGGCCGATATAAATCCACGAGTTATACCGAGGAGAATTGGGATTCATCGCGCTATCGACACTTAACACCGCGAGCGCGTTATTTATTGATCTTCGACTATAAGCTGCGGCGGATTTGAATATTGGGTGTCCCAATAATCTACGGCAAATTTTCCGCCCCGAGTGGAGGTCAAGTTGATAACTCCAATTAGCCGAATCGGTGATGGGGAGAACTTTCGGTTCTAATTAAACAGACCTCATTTCCATATCCTGTCACCTCTACTTGCATTACGGGTCCGTGGAAAAAAAAAAAAGAACTGAAGAAAAAACCGGTATAATATAGAACGCGGAAATAAATTACGTTGACCTAGATATTATTTTCTAAATTCAATATCTATCATTCTAGAGCTATCCGATTTACGATAAGAAGAAATATAGACATGGGTACATTTGAAATGCTATCGTGAAATGGTCTCCAACGTATAAGTATTGTTAGTCTTATCGACGTTACAATTAAAATTACATATTCACGAAGGAAAGACCTTTTTCCAATTTTATGGATCAGCGCTATTGGCCACGGTACAAACTTTATCGGGCGTACAGGCTGCGGCCCATTTAATGGGCCGCGATATCACTTTAAGAAGTCGCACACTAAGCATTTAAAGCGAAAAAAGTCCAATCACTTTAATCGGCTCCTTTATTTACGCGCGGAATTGACGCAATAACGTGGCCGTTCAAGGTGTACGGGTTTCTTTTTCCTCCGGAACCCGGCACTATATTCGGAACAAAGAAGCCACTCAAAGAGTTCCGCCGATCCGGCCCACGTGCGTGAGCATTTTGACAAACCCGAGAGCGTTCAAACATTAACGCCCACGTTTCATCCATTATGTGGCGTTAGGTGTGAGGTAAAGTTATGTCGCCCTTTTCTTTTTCTCCCTGGTACGGGACGAAAGAATTTTCCAACAGGCCCGATTGATCCGTCCTCACTGTGGACTCCATCTTGCTTTTCCTTACAGTCAACACTCGAATTGGCTCCGCTGGGAATAGAAATGTGCGGGGAATCGAAAAGTGGGCAAACCGAAGAAAGTTAAGTGGATAGGTAGGCGGATAACCAGCCAAGTGGGTAGATTCACAGAAACGCATCGAACTACATGTCTTGGAAATATAGCAATACCAGGACATAATCGTAATATCCACATTTTGCATTTTTTTCAACGTGAAACTTCTTATGCCGCGGCAGTATAAGGTCGCGTGTTAACAAATGGGAGCGTAGGAAAAGGTTAAACATTTATTTAATTATATTCTCTTTACAGCTAAGTACCGTTTATACTCATCTCAATGTTAATGGCATCGAAACAATATGCATAAATGTTGTCATTAGCATAAGTGCGTTATTCTCTCGGATGATGATTGGCATTTAAGGTGGAATAAAAATGAAAGAGGTTTCACTTCCAAGACAAGTGACGACCACGCGCCCATTTTTCATTAAAACAGTAAACACGTGAAAGATGTATCTCAATTATTTGTAAACCCGCTCCATCTATAAAATTCCCCAGCGTACGTGTTTATCCTGCACGTTACGTGCAATATCCCTTTATGTTCCATAAATCAGCAATAGGCAAACTTAACGTGGACTCGGCGTAATTGCGTTCGCCGGAATGCGCTCTTTCTCTCGCTCGGAAGAGAGGAAAAGATCTCGGTTTCCCCGTTTTACGGCCAATGTTAACGGGGCAAGAAAGGTCGAAATAAAAGAAAAAAGAGAGAATCCCACAAACGCGTCGTCGGTCTGCGGCCACTGGCGCTCTGAAAATGAAAATATGACATATGGCGCCCGCGTTGAAATTGCCGCTCGAACGAGCACGTCTTTATGATATCCCATTAATATTCATTTGCGATCGCCGTTGACGCGAGCCATTGCCGAAGAGTCGCAAGGAGCGAGCATCGCGCGGGATTATATCCCCGAAGGACGAGACGACAAAGGCTGAAGAAAATTACTGGAAGGGAGATATTGCTGCAACCGTTGCGTGAGCTTCCGAGGAAAATAACCGTTGTTAATTTTTGCACCTGTGCTTACGCGGGGAAATTCTTAGGAAGAGCTCCATACCTAACGATCAAAGATGTAAAACGAGATTCCTCGATCTCGTCTGTAATAACAGCAGAACCGACACGGCTTGCAATTGCAGCTAACAATTGCTGCCATTAGTGCAACGGTTTTGCAAGCAGGTACGCGTATTAGTTACGTATTTTCCCCCTATCACGATTCCGCAGAAATTAAAAATACGCGTCATATCTCGAGTTATCTCTGACTCGGAGGATGCAAGGAAGGAGTTTCACTCGCAAATAGGAAATCATCCGGGAAATGAAGGAACGAGTCAATCGACGTTGCGTAGGAGGAGGAAGTGCGCGGTTAGTCGAAAATTCAAGAAATTGTTGCCTCGAGTCGCGAGGCGTCGGTCTTTGTCCTTACGAGTGGAGATAAGTGCAATTGCTGCAGACGCAATTTCCCCCATTAATGATAGCGTTTAAAAAATACAAAACAGATCCATTTACATTGAGAGTAACATTTTTCTTAATCTTTTTACTTCCGCATCACAGTGATCACAGTTTATGACATATAAACATCTCACTCGTCATCCGAGCCCCAAAATACATATACACTACACTTATGTAGAGAGACGACAAAACTAAAATCTCGACATTAAGTTTTAATCCAACATAAAAAAAACTTGCCCGACATCCTGAATGGCAATCTTTAAAAACAGAACTTAAGGAAAAACGTATTTTCAGAGTTAGATAACTAATTAGAAACTTCAACAGTTTATGCGATAACAGCTGAACGCTGCGGAATTCAATTTTTGGGCGCAATTTGCAAAGAACAAGCTGGGGGATGTTTGAATTAAACGTACATTTCTCCCCGCGCAAATAGAAATGGAAACGTGCGGACGCGTATGCGGCACATACGTTTCCATACGGTCGAATCGACGACTGACGTGGGAATGAATAATTCAGGACGCGCATCGTTGGACGCACCCATGTGCAGCCCGTGCAAACCTTGCGAAGTGCACGAGGCCGGTAAGGTAGGTCTCGCGTGTACCGACACGCGAGCGAACGCGGATACACGTACAAGGAGGAGAAACGTGGTGGGTTCCGGTAACACCAGAGACCCACCTTTCGCGCTTTCACCTTCTCGCCTCTTCCTCCTCATTTTCTCGAGGGGAAACGAAATTCCGCCCTTTCCGCGGAACCTAATCCACCCAATATCCCTCCAAACTCAATTGGCTCGATTAAATAGCCCCTTTTCTCTCGATTTCGCGTGGCGATAAAATAAGGGAAACCGTAAGAATTGATTGTATTAAAATGCGGCGGAGGAAACTCGCGATAAGAATTTCTCTCGAAAAGGTAATAACAACGTAAGGACTTTGCGCCGGGCCGACGTGAACTTACATCGAGGAACTTTCCACGCGAAAAATGTCCAATACTTCCCCGAGAGATGGGAGTTAAAAGTGATTAAAATTTCGCGTTTTTCCGTGTGGGCGATTCCGTCGACTTCGATCGCCCGTAACTTTTGACTGATCAAGTTTTCGAGGAATGTATATAAAAAAGAAAAAAAAAGAAAAAGAGGTTAATGGATACTTTCCTCCGGTCTTTCAAGGAGATTTCGCCGGCTGCCTTACTGGCCAATCTGGAGCACCCAGGATGTACATGGAATTTTCAAGTGGCAGCTAACACGAACGAAATTCAAGAAGCAGCTGGTCATACTTTCGGCTCCTGTTCTTTTTTTTTTTTCTTTCCATCTCGAAATTATGCCGGCCTTTTTGACCGAGGGGAAAAAAAAGAGAGAGAGAGAAGAGCGACCACATCTAGTGATTCCGAGGCGCCGAATTAGTCGAGTCCGACCAGCTCTCTCCGTAAGATGGATATGAATTCATTCAGGCTTAGCTTCCCTTTTCCCGATTCCACGAGAGGTTTCGACAAGCCAGGGGGATCCCCTTCTTCCGAAGAGCGCACTAAGGTACATACGATGTACATACGTATCGTACATATGTACCTCGGGTGAATCATTTCAAGTCGCTCGTCGCGGCCGTCCCTTTCACGGCGAGTGATGAAACCGTCGGCGGTGGGGCTGCATGGAGAACCAAGCCTAAGGTTAAATCTCGAACCTCGGGCTAATATCGCTTTTACATCGGGCACTTACTTTGACCGAAGCTACGATCCAGAATAACGCGTACAAAGAGCGGATCAAAACACAATTTCTTTCCACGAAGGCAGTACCTCTAAATCCATTGATTTCAGGCCGTTTAAAGATCGGTTCAACGT